CCTGACATATATACACATAGAGAATACCTGCACCTGGCACACGCGCGCGCACACGCACACACACACAGAGAACCTGGACCTGGCATACACACACACAGAGAACCTGCACCTGGCATATACACAGAGTACCTGCACCTGCCACACACACGCACACACAGATACCTGTACCTGACACACACAGATACTTGCACCTGACACACACACACAGAGAGTACCTGCACCTGGCACGCGCACACATACATACTCGGAGTACCTGCGTCTGGCGCTCGCGCGCGCGCGCGCACACACACACACACACACACACACACACAGTACCTACACCTGCCACGCACACATACCACACTATACTATGGCACCACACCTGTCTTGTATATCACACAGATGTTGATGTTTACAAACTGCAGTACCTCCACACACCCACACACATCTGCATGCAGCACATGTGTGCACACCCACATGCATGGACATGAAAACACTCCAAGAGTTAAAAGGAAAGTGGAGAGGGGCTGGGGTTGTGGCTCAGCGGTAGAGCACTCACCTAGCACATGCGAGGCCCTGAGTTTGATCCTTAGCTCCACATAAAAATAAATAAATAGAGATATTGTGTCCAACCAAAAAATATATATATATATTAACTAAAAAAAAATAAATATTAAAAAAAAAAAGGAAAGTGGGGAGCTGGTGCACATCCATAGTTCAGCCACTCAGGAGGCTGAGGCAGGAGGATCGCAAGTGTGATATCATCCTGAACAACCTAGTGAGACCCTGTCTCAAAATAAAAAAGGGCTGGGGCTGCGGCTCAGTGGTAGAGTGCTTGCCTAGCATATGCAAGGCCCGGGGTCAGTCCCTGGTACCACAAAGAACAAAACCAAACAACCCTATACCAAGGGCAGGAAGTGACATGGCAGGGCTGTTAGACAGAGCAGGGGTTTCCTGGAAATCAGGAAAGCAGCAACTGAGCATTGTTCAGCTTTGACAGTGAGCCTTATCAGTGACCTTCCCAAGAGCAACTCCAGGACTGGATGGGGGCCAAAACCAGACTGTTTCAAATTGAAGAGTGACTAGGAAGTGTAGAGGAAACCAGAAAGTTCTCAAGAAGCTTGTAAAGGGGTGGGGGAAGCAGGGGGCTGGCTGTAGAGGGGTTGAGCCTTGGAGATGTGCCCACATTTGGTGCAGCTGTGGCTGCTTTGGGGTGGGCGGACATATGTGCAGAGGGTTCCCTGGAGGCGGAGGGGATGGGGTCCTCACGTAGGTGCTTAGGCAGGGCTCTTCCTCCGGCGACAGTGGGAGCAGGACTCCGTCTGAGCAGAGGCAGTGGGCTGGGCATTTGGGAGAGTGAAGGAGGGAGTTGGGCACTGTCAAGACTGGGCAAGTGAGCTGCCTAGAGAAGGGGACTCTTGGCAGAGGCTGAATATCCCCCTGGCCTGGGCCTGGGCCAGCCCCTGGGGAGGCGTGAAGGCCAGGGTCAGAGGCTTTCTGGGAAGTGCAGCAAGAGGGAACTGTGCTGTGGCTTGGGGTCCTCAGGCACTCTGGGGAGGCAGGCTGAGAAGGGAGAGGGCAAGCCTCCAAGGCAGGAAGAGGACAGACAGCAGCGCTCCTATAGTCAGGCCAGTGCTGGGAGGCTGTGGCAGTCTTCACACTAGGTGGTTGCAGGAGGGTGCTTGGGGGAAGGAAGCTGTTGAGCCAGCACAGACGGTACCAACCGAGTGCCCTACAGTTCAGTCCAGGGCTGTGGTGATGAGCCTGGTAGCGGCACCTGACCAAGGCTATTTCAGGGGGGGTCTAGGAGTAGGAACAGGACAGAGGGAGGTGAGAGCAGAGACAGGCCGCAGCACGGGGCAGTACTGGGTGAGTAGCTAAGCTGGTGTTCGGATGCCTGTCACTGCCTGTTTGCCATAGCTGTGACATTGTCCTCTCCTCTGCCGGCCCCAGTGCAGGACCTGACAGACGACCACCTGGCCGGCAGTGGTCAGGTGACCTCTGTCCACTGAGTGGCTGGTGCTAGGTGTTGTCACGGCCTGACTGTTTTCTTTGCAGTTCCGGGTGCTCTTTGCCAACCTGGCGGCTCTGGTATGGTACGTCTATCTGGCCTCTCTGGGGTAGTGACGCTGGCCTGGGGAGGACATCAGGTGCATCTGGACAGGGGAGAGCAGAGCCCAGCCAGGACGTCTTCTGACTTTAAATCATGTGATTTGAGATGCCTCAGAATTGTGATTGGAGAAACAGAAGTCTCTAAATGAAAGAGTGCTGTGTCTCAGAGGTGGCCTCATTGCCTGGACCAAGAGATTGCAATAAACAGAGATGATCAGCTGCTTCTTTGGTGTGGTTTCTCAGAGGACAGGTCACTGGGGTTTCCCTTTGTGCTGTGGCACGTGCACAACACATAGCTTGCTGTCAAAGCACACAACTCAGTGGCCCAAAATGTGGCCAGTATTATGTGGCCACTGCTGACCCTTCCAGGACTCTTGGGAAGGTTCCCAAGGTGAAGCTCTACCCTATGAACACCAGCCCTGTCCCTGGGCCCCCGCCATCCCACTGTTAGTTTGAGTGAGGGTGCCTCCTGCAGCAGCATCACAGGGCACTTGGCTTCATGACTGGCTCAGTCGCCTCCATAATATCTGCCATGGTCTGAATGTGTCCCCTCAGAATTCAAGTGGAAGCTTAACCCTGCTGGGGGGCTGTTAAGAGTGGGGTTTAGGGAGTGGTCAAGCCCCTTGTGAGTGCATTAAGCCCTTACGAAAGAGGCTTAGGAGAGTGGGTGCCCCTTTGCCCTCCTGTGCCTACTGCCATATGGGACAGTGCTGCAGAGTGCTCAGCACAACTAGGACAGGTAAAAGGGCAGCAGGCAGTCAAGGCAGTGGCCCTCCAGAAGGCTTCTCTAAATGTACAGCTACTCCGTGAATTAACCTGTAGGAACATTCCAAAATTCCCAGCTACTCCTTTGTCTCAGAGCATCAGAAAAAGGAAAAGAGGGACAGACCTGAGTGAAGCCTACAAGGGAAAGCCTCAAAGGGCACAGTTAGAAGGTCATGGGCCAAACCAATAGCTTCGGCACTTTTCCAATGCCTGATTAACAGTAGTCCTAAGTGGACATTATATCCTGCTGGCTGCTGGCACTCACACCTTTGTGGTGTGGCTACCTGTTGTTGTCCTCTGCTGCAGGGGCTGTAACCCCACTGGCCGTTACAGCAACAGAGGCAAAGAATGTGGTTGCCTGTCCAACTGGTTTCAGTGGCACCATCTTGGAAGCAAAGAGTTATGATTGGTAACTCTACCCTGGGCTTCCCAGCCTCCAGAACTATGAGAAATACTCTATCAAATACCCAGCCTGTGGTATTTCATTATCAAGGCTCATCCATGTTAATAGCATTTTAAGAATGTCCTTCCTTTTTAAGGCTGAATGATCATTTCAGTGTGTGTGGATATCATGTCCTGTTTTTTTGTTTGTTTGTTTTTTAAAAGAGAAAGAGAGAGAGAGAGAGAGAGAGAGAATTTTAATATCCATTTTTTAGTTTTCGGTGGACACAACGTCTTTGTTAATATGTGGTGCTGAGGATCGAACCCGGGCCGCATGCATGCCAGGAGAGCACGATACCACTTGAGCCACATCCCCAGCCCCTGTCCTGTTTGCTTTTGTTAGTGGACATTCAGATTGTCTTCAGCTGTTGGCTGCTGTGCTCCTGCTATTAACACCGGAGAACCGTATATGCTCTTGTGCCTGTTTACCCTCAATTTCAAAGAACTGTTCTTTTGGTTCAAAATACATCAGGGTGGGGTGGGGCAGTTGCTGAAGGAAGTTTAGAGTATTTGCAAGAGTAACAGGTGCTCCTGCAATTGATAAAGACCTTGATGATCACACTTCTTCCTGTCTTGGCAGAGTCTACATTCAGTTCTAGAGTTTGGCTGGGAGGAGTGGCACTCGCCTGTGAACCCAGCTCTCTGGAAAGCTGAGAGAGGAAGACAGGAGGACCACTTGAGCCCATGAGTTTGGGGCCAGGCTGGGCAACATAGCAGCAAGACCCCCTCCCCACCTCTCAAAAAAAAAAAAAAAAAAAGTCCAGTTCCCAATTTTAGGTGCAAGCCATGGCACCAACATTTGCTGAGGGAGTTACTATGCTGGAGCTCATGCTGATCCTACGAAAATCCCATAAAGTAGACATCACCCTTTGTTTCCATTTCACAAATGGGGAAACTGAGGCAAGACCCGCTAATAGGTGAATCCTGGATTCAGATGCAGGATTCTCTGCCACCACTTTCACATATGGGTTCTCAGGATGTCAGGGTGAAGCCAGGAAAAAAGAAAAAATTKGGGGTAGTATTTTTTTAAAATAATGCAAATTCATACTCTTGGGTTTCTGGCTTATCACGGCCTGCTTTCACTCGGTTCATTTCACACACGTTTACCCAGAGCTGCCAGGCACACAGGAAAGCAGGGAGCGAGGCTGTTAGTGTCCCCACGTGGACATTTACCAGGGATAAGGAAAATATGTAAAGGTGGTCACACGGACTGGACACGGTTTAAAGAGAAAGAGAAGAAGCACTTTTATTATCCTCAGTTCTGGGTACCTTGACAAATATTTTAGTTGTATATTTGGACAAAATGAACCCATACAAAGGTCCATGAAGCTGCACTGTTCTGCCAGGGCAAAGCCCCGGGACTCATGCTGCTCGCCCTCCGCCTGCAGCGAGGTGGGCGCCGGCCTGCACCCACAGGTGCAGCGCCTTCCCAGGCTGAGGGTCGCTCGGCGGTCTCTAGAGCAACTGCCGCCAGYAGGGCCGTGTCGGACGGCGGGGGCGTGAAAGGACCTGCGCCGCTCGCGTCTGGAACCCGCGGAGTCGGACCGCGCAAGGGCCGCGGCCACCTCCCTTGCACACGCCCGGGTCCGCTCTCCCCCACCGCCGCGGTTGCCGCGCCCTCCCAGCGGCCCCCGCGGCCGGGGCGGGGCTTCCGTCAGCAGAGCAGGAGCGCGCGGAAGCGTGTCCCTCGCGGCGCGCCGTGGGCGGCGCGGACGGCGGCATGGCGTTCCGGCAGGCGTTGCAGCTGGCGGCCTGCGGGCTGGCCGGGGGCTCGGCTGCCATGCTCTTCTCGGCCGTGGCGGTGGGCAAGCCACGTACCGGCGGGGACTTGGAGCCGCGGGCGGCGGAGGCGCCGGCCTGGGCGGGGGGCGCGCGGCCGTGCCGGGGCGTCTGGGACCCCAACTGGGACAGGTGCGCGGGGCCGGCGGGCGGCGGGCTTCCTTCCCCTCGCCCCCGGCGCGCAGCGGCGTGTGGGCGCCCGACAGGTGGACGTCGGCCCGGTCTGTGCCCGGGGCGGCGGTGCCGGTGCCCGTGCCCGGGGTGCCGGGTCCGTGTCTGGGGCGGCTGTGCCCGAGGTGCCAGGGTCCGTGCCCGCGTGCGGGGTCCGTGCCCGAGATGCCGGGACGGCCGTGCCCGGGGTCTGTGTGCCATAGCAGCTGTGTCTGGAGTGACAGCGTCCTGTGTTAGGATGGCTATGACTAGTGGTCCTGAGGGTCCGAGTGTGAGGATGACCGTGCTGGTGCCTGAGGGCTAGTGAGCAAGGAGGGTCCATTTGCTAGGAGGAGGCCAGTGTAGACCAGGCGCTTCTTGGATGTTGTCAGTGCTGTGGCCATCATCTACTTGTCGTTATTGAGCCTTTGAAATGCTCCTGTGATTACACAAGGATTTTTAGTTTTATTTAATGTCAATATAAATTTAAAACCCAAAGCAGTGCAGTTTTTCAATATTTGGTTGAAATAACAGTACTTTTAGTATATTGGATTAAATAAAGTGTATTACTCAATTTCACTTGTTTCTCTTCACCTTTTTTAAAGCCTTTATTTATTTATTTATGTGTGGTGCTGAGGATCAAACCCAGTGCCTCAGACATGATAGGCAAGCGCTCTACCACTGAGCCACAACCCCAGCCTCTCTTTATTCTTTTTTTTTCCTTTTTTTTCTCTCTCTTTATTTTAATGCTGCTACTGGACAACTTAAAATTACATATGCTGCTGGGTTCTATTTCTACTGGAGAGACTGCTTTAGAGGCAGGGATTGGTTATTGTGGGATTTACCCAGTTCCAGTTAAACCTCCTAGGTACCTGCAGCTGTTATCTCTACACTGACACTTAGAAATTGGGCACAGAGGTAATATCATATCCCTAGTTGTATCAGGAATTTCATAGTTATTTTTTTAACCTTTAATTTTATTTATTTATTTATTGGTACTGGGGAATGAACCCAGGGGTGCTTTACCACTGATCTACAACCCCAGTCCATTTATTTATTTACTTATTTAAAAATTTGTTTTCTAAGTATTTATTTTTTAGTTGTAGTTTGACACAATACCTTCATTCCATTCATCTCTTTTTGTGTGGTGCTGAGGATCGAACCCAGGGCCCTGTATGTACTAGGTGAGCGCTCTACACTGAGCCACATCCTCAGTTCCCTCTACTACTGATTTTTTTTTTTTTTAATATTTATTTTTTAGTTCTCGGCGGACACAACATCCCTGTTGGTATGTGGTGCTGAGGATCGAACCCAGGGCCCTGTATGTACTAGGTGAGCGCTCTACACTGAGCCACATCCTCAGTTCCCTCTACTACTGATTTTTTTTTTTTTTAATATTTATTTTTTAGTTCTCGGCGGACACAACATCCCTGTTGGTATGTGGTGCTGAGGATCGAACCCAGGGCCCTGTATGTACTAGGTGAGCGCTCTACACTGAGCCACATCCCAGCCCCTATTTTTTATTTTTTATTTTGAGATAAGGCCTCACTAAATTGCTGAGGCTGGCCTTGAACTTGTGATACTCCTGTCTCAGCCTCCAAAGTTGCAGGGATTCCAGACATGTGCCCCTGTGCCTGGCTAATCTTTAATTAAAACACAAACTTATTTTGGAATATTTTACATAATAGAAAAGTTGCAAATAGAATCCTTTTATATCCCACATCTAATTTCCTGTTCTTAACGTTTTAACACTAAATATGGTAGATTTATCACAATTAATAAGTCTATCCTGATCATTAATAATGGAAGTCTGTGCTTTGTTGAGATAACCTTAGTTTTGCTTTCTGTTCCCAGGTCCCACATGGCAGTTGGTTCTTGGTGTCCATGTGCTCCTGTTAACTTTGTAGCTTCTCAGACTTCCTTTCATGATGGTGGGGAGGTTTCGTGGTGGTCCCTCAGTTGGCATTTGTCTGATGTTTCTCTTGTGGTTAGACTGTAGTCATTCTCTTTTTTATTTTTTGTTTGCTTTGGGTATTGGGGATTTAACCCAGGGTCACTTAACCACTGAGCCACATCCACCACCCTTTTTATTTTGAGACAAGGTCTCTCTGAGTTGCTTAGGCCCTTGCTAATTTGCTGAGGCCAGTCTTGAAGTTGTGATCCTCCTGCCTCAGCTCCTGAGCTGCTGGGATCATAGGCGTAAGCCACCGTGCCTGACTCATACGCTTTAAAAAATCAGAAGAGTGTTCTGAATTTTTCAGGACTTTTAAAGGAAAACATTCACTCTGAGGTCAAAGAACTTGTTTGAAATTAACCTAAAGTTGAGTCCAGCCTTATTTGATTGCAGCAAGGCTCCCTGTTTGCTTGCCATGCTAGATTTCTGGGTGGGGAGATGGGGAAGTCATTGAGCTTGGGGATGGAAGGGCTGGTGGCAGGCAGGGATGCGCAGCACCGTGAAGGTAATATATAGGGGGCTTGTCTCTTATGCCCCCACCCCCATACCAGGATATCCCAGAGCTTTGCATGGATAAGTCTCAGGCTCCCCAGTGCCTTCTAACATACCTGTGCTTGGTGTGTAACCAGCACCCCAAGTTAACCCTGCCCAAATGATCCTTGAGTCATGAGGGTCAGTGGCCCTCCAGACCTTCCTCTCCCATCACAGACTCTACCAGGTAGATTCTGGCCAAGTTCCCTGCCCCCCACATTTAACCTTTAATACTTTTAGTTCCATGACCCCTACCCTGCCCAAGTGCCAGTTGACAGCCACTACCCCACTTAAATCAGATAAACTATGCTTAGATGCAATTATAATTTAATTTAAATCACAGTTGACCTGTGGATACCAAAATCTATGGAAATTCAAATCCCTATGTAAAATGGTGTAGTGTTTGATACAGATGTGCTTTAAATCATACCTAGGTTACTTACAACACCCAATACAGCATGGACCTCATGTAAGTAGTTGTCATGCTATATTGCTTAGGAAACGGTGATAAGAAAAAGAGCCTGCACGTGTCCAGTACAGGAGCATCGTCTTCCAAACGTGCCCTTCTGGTGCTGACCGCGGATACCGAAGACTCAGGGGCCACCTGTACTTTGAATTTAAACAGCCCACAGCTAGTGGCCTCAGTCATACAGTGCAGTCCTAGCCTGCAGGTCCCCCCCCCCCCTGCACCGCACATGGCTCCCCTTTCTAACACTGGCCCTGAGTCGTCCTGTAAATGGCCTGCTCATCCTCACTGGGTCACACCTTGCAGGAAGGCTTTGCCAGGCACAGAACAGGCCTGGCTACAGCAGTGAGGTGGACGGGGTGTGCAGGCGTTACCCCCGGCTGCCTTGGCTTCTCTGGAGAAGTCACTGTCTTGGCAGAGTTCTCACAGGGGTCTGTAACAGAGGCCACAGYACATGCTGTTGTATCTTTTTTTTTTTTTTAATATTTATTTTTTAGTTCTAGTCGGACACAATACCTTTCTTTTTATTTATTTATTTATATGTGGTGCCGAGGATCAAACCCAAGGTCTCACACTTGCTAGGCCAGCACTCTACCACTGAGCCACAACCCCAGCCCAGCCATCATATCTTTATTTATTTATTTATTGGTTGTTCAAAACATTACAAAGCTCTTGACATATCATATTTCATATATTAGATTCAAGTGGGTTATGAACTCCCATTTTTACCCCAAATACAGATTGCAGAATCACATCGGTTACACATCCACATTTTTACATAATGCCATATTAGTAACTGTTGTATTCTGCTACCTTTCCTATCCTCTACTATCTCCCCTCCCCTCCCCTCCCATCTTCTCTCTCTACCCCATCTACTGTAATTCATTTCTCTCCTTGTTTTTTTTTTTCCCATTCCCCTCACAACCTCTCCATCATATCTTTAATACTAGGCGAGAGCCACTCTCTCTGGTCAACCTGCGGAAGAGGAACGTGGAATCTGGAGAGGAGGAGCAGGCGTCCAGGCTGGACCACTACAGGGCGAAGGCCACAAGGCACATCTTCCTCATCAGGCATTCCCAGTACCACATGGACGGCTGCCTGGAAAAGGACCGCACTTTGACCCCACTAGGTATGTGCCTAGGTCTTTTGCCCAGCTGATCTCCATGGTCAGCCTTGAGGGTATTGGGGCATGGGTCCCCTTGAACCTTCAGGGACCACTAGCCCAGACTTTGACATCATCATTACCTGTGATTTTCAGCTGAACTTGGACAGGAGACAGGCTTCTTAACGTGCCTGTGCCAGAACATACAGGGCTGAGGTTGGCTCAGTGTCACGGCGCTTGCCCAACATGGGGGAGTCCCTGGTTCCATCCCCAGCACTGAAGGAAACACTCAAGCAAATGCCGTGGTGTCTAATGCATGAGGTCAGGCCCAGTTCCCAGTCCAGCAAGGCTTATGCTCTTGTTGCTCTAGAAGTGGCGCCTCTTGCACTCTGTGCCAGGCTCACGGCCCAGCCTGCAGACATCTGCCCAGCACCTGCAGGCTGTTCACAGCATCTTAGTGGCTTGCTGGGCAGCAGTGTCTCGTGCCTGCAGGTGCACCTGTGGAGAAATCCTGGAAATGGAGATGCAAGGGGTGTGGGGAGAGTCTAGACTCGACATTTGTAGAGGAAGGGTCTCTCTGTGTTGCCCAGGCTGACCCTGAATGCCTGGGCTCCAGCGATCCTCCCACTTCAGCTTCTCCAGTAGCTGGCCCTGCAGACACTGTTCTTGTGCCTGGCTGAGCTTAGCCTGAACAGTTCCTCTGTTTGGATGGGGTCTTCCCATCTGTGCTCATATGGAAAAATTTGATAGTGAAAGGGTTTTCTGGCCTGCTCTCCTGCTCTCGTGCAGACTGCTCCTTCCCTGAAACACTGTACAGACAGGAAGGGAAGCGCCAAGCGCAGAGGTCTCTGCATCTGACAGAGACTGACTTCCTGGCGATTTCCAGCCAGATGCTAAAATAAATTTAAAAGAAAGCACCTATATTTGGAGCCGCTTGGTGCTCAGTGATACTGAATTCTCAGTGTGTATGTATTGGCCACCAGGGTGTCACACGGCTGGTGGCCATCATGGTGCTCTACGCTGTGTGGACTTGGTTGAGGCAGAGTAAATCCTGCCTGGACTCCAACAGTGGGGCACATCTGCTCCTTACTGCTAATAGACTGAGGTGTATTTTTCTGCAAGGGGTTGAGGACAATTGAATTGATGATCTTTTTGGCATTGCTCATTGAGGCCCTAACCCCTGCTAGGCCCAGGACCGTGGGGGGCATGTGATCCTATGTGGGTGTCACTGGCTAAAAGAGGGATCAAGGTATGTGTGGTTCTGGGGT